CACAGACAATTTAAGATTCAGTTGTATGTAATTTGTATCTTACAATCACAACTTCTTGTGATTAGCAAATCATTAAAACTTGAATCTACGGATTAAAAATTTTGAATTTTAAAAAATTTCTTTCGTAAAGGCTTAACCAAACTTATCCATAAATAATTGTGTCTTTTGAACATCAACCTCAAAACAGTGATAATGTCTCAAATGCTAAGCAAGATGATTTGGTACACAGGCTTTGAACTAGTGACGCTAGGTGGCTAACTGGAAAATATTTTTGTGTGTTCATATACCGACATGTGAAAAGGCTGTTTGTGTATTATCTTGGATTTGAATGAAAGTTTTAGATAGTTAGCCAAGCCACCACAGAGATTCACTGCTACACGCTACTATCTGTAAAATTATTTTAACTCATTTTTTTCTGTTCATAAGGTGTGAGGATAATTGAGTTAGGAAGAGTATATTGTGCGCGATGAGATCTGATTTAGGGGGAGTAGTCCTTATACATTATTTGATCAACGGTCAACAAAACACGTGACATTAAAAATTTTTAATTTTTGAAACTAAGTTAAGCCAAATAGGGAGATTGTTGTTAAGAAACGTGAGAAAAGCTAAGATGAGTATTGACTAACAGGATGGTAGGTATATTCAACATAATATGTTAGCGGCAACTTTTAGGTTTTTTTTACATTTAAATAGGAAACCATTTTCTGCAGCTCGTATAAAATAGAGTATTTTCTATCTTATATATTTTCATATTAGCTTATTAAAAAATTTAAGGATAGATTAATTTAATACTATCTTTACCTAATTCAATCTATTAACATATCAAGGATATCCTTGAGTATATTTTATGATATACAAATCCTCTTACTGTGCTTAATGTCTACTATTTAGGTAAGAATTAATTTCAATTTTACCAATAAGTATTAATTAAAAAAGATTAGAATTAAGCTTTGAAAAATATTCTCCAGTTTGTGACCTAGTTGTGTGTGTTCTGCCGTCTTCATACAAATTCATATGGATTTGATTATTTTTAAAGCCAAAGTCTTCTTCGAAGTATTTGGAGAATACAAATCAACGTGCACTAAATGTTCAATCCCGTAAATTGATCGAACTACATGGCGTGAGTTAAGAATGGTGATTCTTAATTCAATTGTTGGTTGCGATCAAGTACAATAAGGAAGTGGTAATAAAGTCAAGACCGGTGTATTTAATTCACTTCATCAATAAGTCAAAAAGGAGAAGATACAAGGGATTTTTTTTAAAATTTCTTTTGATTGTTCTTTGTTAATTTTGTGAAATTACAAAATGGATACTATTGTATTTTTTATAAATTGATTTAGTAGATTGTTTGAGCCGTGATATAAGGGTCCGTGGATGTTTTCTTTTTGGGTTTATCACGTGAGATATGATGTTTAAATTTAGATTTGTTATTCAATTTCTACACTTAATTAAAATTGCCCGAACATAGATTCAAGCTTTACGTTGCAATCAGAGACGTTAGAAACTGATTATAGGATATTCTAACTGACTGCTGTCCACTTTATCAATTGTATAATTTGAAAATCATTTTAATTTACATAGGTTTAAGAATTTACATCCTTGTTTCCTATGTCATCGTTTTATGTTCTCTCTTGATTTTGCTTTAGGTACTAGTGTATGTTGGTTTTGAAACAATACTTTGGAATGTTGTAAGGCCCCACTCTCTAAATTGCAAAAAAGAAATTTAAGTGAAAAGGAAATAGAGCTTTGATCAAGTAAAAATTGCATTAGTTTTATGTATTAAAGGTTCATCCCACTCTTTCAAAATCCACAATTGTTCAATTATAATAATTCTAATTGAATTAATTGAGTGGTTACCAAAATTGGTCATGAATTTTCCCTATAAATAGGACCAAAGCTTCATAGGAAAAAAGAGGTGAAAGTGCAGAAGAAAATCACAAAGCGATAAAGAAATCTCAAATATGAAGGAAGAGAAGAAATCCTCTCAACTCAATCTGGCGAACACGAAGAAGATCAAAATCTTCTTCAAATCAAGAAAACCCAAGAAGATCAAAGTTTTCTTCGGATTAAAACAAGATCAAGTCCAAATTTCTAAGTGCAAATCCAAGCTCCAAAATTCAAGTGTCGAACAAGTCAAATTCTCAGCAAATCAAATTCTCAACAAATCTATAATCCTAGGATTCAAGTCACGTGACTCCTCGTCTTCAAACATGCAAATCATTAATCAGAGGATTTTACAATTTGGTAATTAT